TTTTTTTTTTTTTTTTTGTAAAAGTGAAAATCCCCTTCGGATTTCTTTTGGTCATTGAAAACAGGCACTACTAATGCAGTCTTTCACAAAAGCCAAGAGGCATCTCGGATTTTCAAAAAGCGGGGGGTAGCTGTATCTTTTTCTTTTTTCTGGACATCTCTAACCAGGATGTCTTTTGGTCAAACCAAATGTACTATACTATTTTAAACTGATTTCAGTATCTTTTACTTTCAAACCCAATAAATTTTCATCAGTAAATAGTACCCCCATTCTCCATTTTTTCATATCCAGGCGTCATTCTAAACTTTCTGATGGATAAATTTTGGTATACCCATACAACAGAATATTATTCATCAATAAAAAGGAATGTAGTGATACGTGCTACAACATGGATGAGCTTTGAAAACATTATGCTAAATGATAGAAGCCTGAAACAAAAGGCCACATATGGTATGGTCTGACTTATATGGATGTCTAGAATAGGCAAGTTAATAAAGATAATGTAGATTAGTGATTGCCAGGACAGGGTGAGGGGGACATGGGAAACGACTGCAATGAGTACAGAGGTTTCTTTGGGGGGGTGGGGGCAATGGAAATGTTCTGGAATTAAGATAGCTGTGATGGTTGTTGCACAATCTTTTGGCTATATTAAAAACCACTGGCCTAGCCAGGTGGCTCAGTTGGTTGGACCATCATCCCGTACACCAAAAGGTTGCGGGTTCGATTCCCATTCAGGGCACATAACTAGGTTGCAGGTTTGATCCCCGGTTGGGACTCATAAGGAAGGCAACCAATCAATGTTCCTCCCTCCCTTCTTCCCCCCCAAGAAAATCAGTGAAAACTTATCCTTGGGTGAAGATTAAAAAAAAATCCTTCTGGAAAAAAAAACCCTACTGAATTGTACACATTAAAAGTTTGAATTTTATAGTATGTGAATTATATCTCATAAAGCTTAGTATCTCCTTCCCCTGTACTATCCTATTAAAATATTTGATTAATACTGTATATAATCTACCATATAATTTTTTAAAACATCCATGTGTCCTAATTTTAACATAAATGATAAAAAGGAAATTTATGATAAAATATGTATTCCCAGGACTTGTGCCACAGAATCATATGAATCCAACAGCCTCATATGTAGACTGATAGGTTTTATTGGTGACTCAAATACCATGAACAGCTTTGCTGGGGTAACAAGAATTTCTAAAATAATATAGGCAAAAGGATGCTCTTCCTTTGTTTTACATAATACACTTCTGATAAACTCAGTGTGTATTTAAACTATGTGAAAAATACTGTGTTCATATGTAAAATGAAATTGGGTTCGTCTTGAGTATTAATAGTTTTGCACCTACAATAATGTCCAATGGGGACAAATCTTCACTTGTTGGACTTTTAGCATTCCATGCTCAGGTCTAGTAAATGTCAGCAAGGCACCTCACTCCAGGCCCATTATATAGACAACCAGGAACTTCTCTGGGGGGCTGGTATGACCCCCATTGAGAACCATTGCATTATGAAACAAATAAGCACTGTATTCTAGAAAAGGAGGTGGGAGAGTTATTCTTGGTCTTTTAGATCCTTTGGGCATCTTGGTAAAACAGAACATTCCCTTTCTCCACAAGAGTTAACAGACTGAGGAACAGAGCTACGTGTATCCAAGAATGAGAGAGATACTCTTCACATTGAGATTCAGAATGACCTAACCTGCTTCATCTGTATTCTTGAATTTTTTCTAGTACACAGAGGAGAAAAAGTGGTACACGCATAAGATCCAAAATGTATTTTGCCATTTTCCTGGATGAACTCATAGTTTTTAAAATATTGTTGCTTATATACTATCAAAGTATTTTATCTGATAAGCCTATAACTTTTCACTGCTACATAGTGATAACCTTTTTCCTTTCCTTTAAGATGCTCTCCAAATCCTTGGTTATGGAGTATTTGGCTCATCCTGGTGCACTCAGCTTGGCTGCCGGAGTAGCTTGTGGCGTGTGCCTGGGCTGGGGCCTCCGTGTACGCTTCGGGACGATCCCCAAAAGCTCAGTGCATGAGACAAACACAGAGACCGGAACTGAAGCAAGCATCTTAGGAGAGAGTGGGGAGTACAAAATGATTCTCGTGGTTCGAAATGACTTAAAGATGGGAAAAGGGAAAGTGGCTGCCCAGTGCTCTCATGCTGCTGTTTCTGCCTACAAGCAAATTCAAAGGAGAAACCCTGAATTGCTCAAACAGTGGGAATACTGTGGCCAGCCCAAAGTGGTGGTCAAAGCCCCTGATGAAGAAACTCTGATTGCATTATTGACCCATGCAAAGATGCTGGGACTGACTGTAAGTTTAATCCAAGATGCTGGACGTACTCAGATTGCCCCAGGTTCTCAAACTGTCCTAGGAATTGGGCCAGGACCAGCAGACCTAATTGACAAAGTCACTGGTCACCTAAAACTTTACTAGGTAGAAATTTTGTACAGTGATTGTCCCACCACCGCAAGTGTTTGAAACGGCCAAATTCTAACAATAAAAGCTGAATTTCTTCCCCCAACTTAAGTATTCTTGAGATGAAAATCTGTTCCCGTGTTCTTCTGTCATGTACTTGGCACAGTTACACAGTTATCTTGGGCTAAAAAGAGAAAGAAAGTTGGTTAAATTGTCCTGGTGGTCCAAGTCCTGAAACAAAAATTATTTGAAAGAGAAACAGGTCACGACAAAATTGGATTACGGGGGGGTGAGGGGATGACAGCATTTCCTGAGCATGGTTAGGTCCCTCTTGGTGTTAATAGCTGCTCTTCCCCAAAACTGTTGCTGTCACCCTTGGAGAGGGTTCAGGGCTTCCAGGGTAGTCCCACTGGATCCAAACTGCAGTTTTTTTCCTGCCGTAACCTTTTGGATGACTGAGCCTATTTTATTAATAGATGGTAGTGCCACCCACAAAGGGTTTAGACTCTAACCTGCTGGGTTTTTAAACTTATGTCTCCAAGTTGAGGTTTAATAGCACTGATATAACCCACATGTGCAGTGTTTCATGTTCATTTCCCTGACCCACGGTGGCCAAAGGCTCTCAGCAGTGGTTCTGCCTCATAGCCTATAAAAATTGCGTCACTTCCCCACTTTCCTAACAGTGAAGGCACTGAAACTTGTGAAGTGACTTGTATGGACCTTGAAGGTGGAAATGGGCACAGGTGGAATTTATGGTCACTGTGAAGTGAAAGTAGTGTGTCATCCCGACATCCCACTAGAGCTTTAGGAACTAGGTAATTCAGTGACTTATGGGCATCTTTATTTCCCTTTTGATCTTTATACACTTAGCATGACATAATTCCAGTAACTACTGGTATACAGCTTCCCAGAATATAAAGGAGGTCCCAGCTCCCAAAGCTATACAGCTTCCATCCTTTTTGCAATCTATTCTTGCAAAAAGTCCTTTTTTCCTGAAAGCCTTTTCGGGGGGTCCTTGCATTATTTCTAAATTTAGTATATCACTAAGAACTATGATGATGCCAAGGAGGATTTTGGTAGCAGGTGCATGTTAAGTGGCTCCAGCTCTCCATGTTAACTTCAACAATTAGCATTAGTTAGCAGTTAACTTCAACATAAGCAGCATGAGAGCATAACTAAGGTATAAATTCAGTGGAGTCTGCCGGCAGAACTCTACAGACTATCGCAGCCAGTCTTAAACGTTCTAGTATTTGGTCAGTTTTATACTATTTACACTGGCATATGATAGCACAGGAGAAACTGCAGCTGTGAATGATGCCACAGTAGCAACTGTTTCTAAAGAGAATGTTTATACTACTAGATTCAAGTGATGCAACAGCATGTAACTGAGTTGAAGAGAACTCAACCCTAAATGCACGATTCTGGCTCAGGTCATTTCTGAGGCTTGCCTCAGACTGGTGGTTCCACATTCAAAGCAGTGCATTCCCCACAGACTGGCCTCCCGTGGCTGACTCAAGTAATTGCAGTAAGTCGTGGCATATCTACTAGGATGAACAGTATACAAATTCAGGTGATTCTGGAAATACATCTTGTTTTTTCACCTGTACTTGGGATTTACTTTATAGGATTTGTAATCTTACAGGTCTCAAAGTATGGGCAGAGCCCATAGGTTCTAAGACACTTTCAGGAGGCCAAAACTATTCTTATATTAACACATTATTTTTGTTTTTCACCGTGGGTAAAACTGCTGGTTACCTTTCACAAATTAAGGCAGGGGCACCTACCTGTACAACTAGTTTTCACTGCCCTCCACCCACAATAAAAAGTTTCACTTAATGCCTTTGATGAAGCACTAACAATATTATTAAATTTGACCCTTGACTATTTGTCTTAATATTCTGTGTAGCATTAAACACTTCTGGTGCACACTGAAGCGTGAGAAAAAGACTTGTGAGGCTGACTGGTGAGCTGAACTAGCTGCTTTTGTCATGGAACATTTTTATTGGCAAGACCAGCCAACAAACTCTTGTTATCCAGGTCTGAGTGTTTGGCAGGAATTTCCTCATAAAAAACAATTGACAGGATTTGGGGAAACTTGTATCTGCCTCTCCTCCAAGCTTCCCCAACCTTAAGACTTCTCTGGTAAGATCAGTGTTCCTTACAAATAGGATCTTAAAACATATGTGTCAACATTTACGAGAACTAAATAACTTAGTAAATCAGTCTTTTCCACATACCCAAAGCATGAGGTAAAAGATCATTGCATGGGTAAAAGATCCATTCAAAGTAAAGACAGATCAATGGGTTTTAATATAACAGTGTAAAAAGTTCATTTTTATGGTTTCAGATTCCACATTTCAACTAACCCCAAATATCTAAAAAAGGCTATCAAAATACTTTCCTAATTACACATCTATATGTGGCCATATTTTCTTCATATACTTCAACAAAAACAACATATAAAAGATTGAATATAGAAGCAAGTGAGAATCCAACAGTTTTCTGTTAAGACAAACTTTGAAGACAGTTATAAATAGTACAATGCCACTTTTATCACTTGTCTTTTGTTTTGGGAAATATGGTTAATTCATAATTCTTTATGTTAACATGGAATGAGTTTATTACTGTTATACTTAAATGGATTAATAATTTTTAAAAAAATTATTAATTTAAAATTTATATATTTTAACTACTAATACATGAAATATTAATGGATACACCCCCACATAAACTAAAGCTCTTTGGGAGCTTCAAAGATTTAAGAATATAAAAGGATCCTAAGAAGAAGTTTGAGAACCACTAGGAGTGAGAATATCTTTGTGACTTAAATCAATTTACAGCCAAGTTAAGCAGCCCTACTTGGAAATCACCAGTTAGTCTCCTGCTATTGTATTAATGTCTAGGTTGAAATAGGTCAACAAGTATCACAGTTTTGTACAAAGGAGGTATTTGGATATTAGGGAAGATCACTGAAAGCATGTTTACCTTATGAAAAGTTTCCCAATAATATCTCCCCTTCCTCTATCTTGTGTCATTTATATTGATAGTGCTAAGGACTCTTAGTACCCTGGTTTACTGTTTTTAATTCCTTCTCCAAGACCATCCTATTCAGAGTAATGTTAGGAAAGATACCTTAAAATACAGTTCAATTACCAATTCATTCCACTACTTATTGTACAACACTTACTATTGTCCAGTCTTGAGACAGGCATTTTGTGATTTAAACATAGTCCTGCAAATAATTCTGAAAATTACTCAGACTGTTATCCACAAGAGAGAACAAGTTCAGAAGTTCATCTTGTTCAGGATTTGAATCCAACTGGAAGCAATTCAACAGTAGTTTCTCTTTCTACTATAGCTCATTATAGATGGCTTAAGTAGCAACTTAGTATTTATAGGACAAGGCTTTTTTGTTGTTCTTACAAAAAAAAACAAAAAAAACAACCACAACTGTTTAAGAATGCTATAAGAAAACCTTTACTGAAGTATTTTAACTTATTTCTATTAGGGAAGGAAGAGAGTAGCTCCATTGATTAAAAACCAGTTGATTCAAAGTATGGAAAAGGTCTAGAACATGCTGAGTCTGAAAACAAGGGGCTCACTGGACCATTACTATTCTCACTCTTGATTTTGATAACCATGAAGAAAGGGAGCAGAGATCCTGCAGAGAGAAGTACAAGCCAGGGCCTGAACAGCAACTTGTCTTCACTATGACAAACGAAAACAAGAAAGGGGTTTTTCCAGCTAATACTGTAATTTCCTACAGGAAAGGGGAGAAGAAATTAAAGATGAAGAAAGAAAAGAGGCTCTAGAGGCTCTTAAGTTTTTGTTTTTTTTAAAAAGACCCTTCTGTGGTCATACAAGGCTAGATAGGGGGCTAACCCTACTGATGGTTAACAGTGAAATGACCTTAAAGTAACATTCTCAGCCATCAGTAAAGAGTTGGATTCAAACACTGGTTTAAAAAAATCACCTCAGTCCTAGCCAGTCTGGCTCAGTGTGTAGAGCGTTGGCCTGCAGACTGAAGGGTCCAGGTTTGATCCCAACAAAAGGCATATACCTCGGTGGCAGGCTTGGTCCCTGGCCCCAGGTGGGGCACATGTGGAAGGCAACCAATCGATGTCTCTCACATCGATGTTTCTCTCCCCCCTCCCCCCACTCTCTCTGGAAAGCAATGGAAAAAACATTCTCAGGGGAGTATTAAAAAAGAAATCACTCTAAATTACCTGTAATTTGGCGACCCTTACAATTTCATGGCGAGGAACAGCATGAATTACGTGTTTCCATACTTTTATTTCAAGTTAATATAATTTAACATCCAGGACCTGTTCATGTAAGTGAAATGCTTAGATAAAACTTAAAAGTGCCACTTGGTTAAAATGATGGAGGTAGTGGAAATGTAGCCCACTATAGTACTGGCTGGTTTTTGAAACTACTGCATGTACCTTATTAACTAAGTTACGCACATGATGTGGTATGTGTTTTGACGTCCCAATCCTAATTCCACTTCTGCTATCATACCTCCCTACCTTTGGAATCCAATACGAAACTACCAAAACCATGGTTCTTTTGGTTTAAGTTTGAGAGGTATTTAATTAAAACTGCCATTCTACATGTTATTTCCACAGTCCAGTAATTTATTTTAAATTTGAGTATTTTCAAATTCCACAAACAAAACTGAAGAACAGCAATATTTTGTTTGAATTCTCTCTTCTGTACACTCAGTGATCTAAAACACCACAATATCCAACATACACAAACCTCAGGGAAGGGTTAGTAAATACACACAGATTGGAATCATGGTGCTCTTTGTTCTTGAATGGAATGGTCCCACAGAAAAAGCACAGGATACAGCACAACATAAGGGCACCTGTTACATATGGAGTGAGCAAAAACACACTAGCATTTTCTATACGCGTAATGAGGAAACCTGCGTAGGTTAGAGGGCCTCTTATGCTCATTGAAAAGTCAGGCAAGTTGTCTGTAATGCATTTTCCCAATACTTTGGAGAGCACTGTAGTCCAGTGTAGGATGTGCTGATTAGTGTTGTCTTTGTTGCATTGACAGTCTCGCATGGTCACATACCAATATTTTTGCTTTAGCTTTTCTTT